TGTAGCCGGAAGGAGCGAACTGTAAAGCTCATTGCGAGAGCAGAGGGCAAGCCGTGGATAAAGGACAGGCCCACGCAGGACTGTGCGTGTCTACTGCTAGGACAGTGCTGCAAGTTGTTCTCCAGAACGGACAAGCATCTGTACCAAACGCATTATTCCCTGGCCACAAATCCAGAGCGCGGCTTCATGGCCCTGCACCATGCATGAAACCAACTGCACCACCGAGGTGAAGGCCCCAGCCGGGCGTCAGTGGGAAGGGAGCGTATGAGAGCATCCGTGCGTGCCAGATAGGACAGCAGAAAGGGGTCACAAACAGCCAGCCAGTGAGCGGGATAGGTGCTTAGCAAAGCACATCAGGATGTCACTGCCCCGGGTGCAGCTCTCAGAGGATGCGCTGTACGAATGTCAGGGCCCCGGGGAAGAGTCATTGCTCCATCTCTGACCGCCGGCGTCAATACAGTGCGGCTGACAAGTGCCGAGTGCGTTAAAGCAACAAGCAGCTCGTTTAAAAGGCAAGTCGCCCCTTTCACTCTGTGTGTGCGGAAAATGCCCTGGCTCCAATGAAATACTGCGTCACTTTTGACCCTGAAATGTCTCTCTCCTCGCACATGTCCCCTGCCAGGGGGCCACGGAACCTGTCTCCAGGGCTTTGCCAGCTTTTCTCCTTCCCTAGCCCACACTTCCACTGAAATCCATACTCACGCCAAAATCGGTTCCCCTCCCTTCCATCAGGGGCTATTGGGCTTGCCAGGTTTCTGCTCTTCACACTCAGTCGGGTCCAGCCTGTTCTCTTGCTCCAGGAACCGAGACCTGGCCATCCCCACCCCAGCCCCCATCTCCTCTCAGAGCCGTCACTGTCCTGATGCCTGCCTCTCAGGGGTGGCCAAAGCCTGGCTGCTAAAGGCAGCTGGTTTCCCCATGGCACGCCTCCCCCGCTGCACTTTCCATGGGTCTCTGTGTGCTGCAGTGTCAGATTCAAGAGCCTCTTCCTCACCCACCCAGCTGCTAATGTTGGACACACCCAGCAGAGACATACATGGGCACTGGGCGGTAATGGTATAGGGCCATCTTGCTCCTCCCCGGTAGCTTAGGCAGGGAGCCCCAGGGTACGGGGAGGGGAGTGCGTGTCTCACTGGGGGCCCCCAAACACACCACAGGAGAGGAGCGGGAATGCCTCGCCCCCCACTCCCCGCTGTAACCCTGGGCTGTGCCTATGGGCTCTGGCTGCTGGCTGCTCTCGCCTGGAGCCGGGCACTCCTCCCTCAATGCTTCTTATCCCTCTTCCCATCATAACACAGGGGAGAAAACGGAGGAGCGATCCCCAGGGAGGAGAGCATGGATTGTAGGTAGGAGCGATTTCCTTCATCTTCTTCCCCTGCTACCTGAATTCCAGCCTCCCCCCCTCCCAAAAATCAGTTTGACTCCTTAAACCACCACCAATTAGCTGCCCCCGAACACCAATTCTGTCCCCCCAGCAAGACCCCTCTATTGCATACACAGGGCCCCCAATTAATTCTACAACATCCCCCCACAGCCTTCAATTCATTCAATGACACCCCCATGGCCCCACCAGTAATTCTATCGCAACCCACCCCATCAATAAAGTCTCCTCTGCTCCAAACACCCCAATTACACAAACCCCACCAGGGCCTTCAAATAACGCCGCTCTCCCCCTGCATACACAGCCCCTCAATGAATTCTACAATGCCCACAAGCACCCCCCTAAGGAATCCTGCCCCTGCCCCCCACAGCTGTTGGCAGGTGTGTGCCAGCTGCTGTCCCTCCTGGCCCCTGCCCCACATCAACAGTTCTGCTGTGAGGCGGGGGGCAGCAGATGCTGGGGGACCAGGCTGTCCCTCACCACAAACAACAGCTCTGGTTGGCTGCCTTCTCCAAGAGGTGGGATAATGGGGAAGGCAGCCAATCATAGGAGGATTCACTTGTATACTGGGGTTTTCCCCATATACTTGTAAGGTCCATGAGGCCTGATGCAACACAGCCCCCACCTAGCACTTTGCTCCCTTCTTCCCCTTCTAGGGCCTTCCCCCAGCCTGCTCCATTTGTCTCTTCCCCCCTAGGCCTCATGCCCCCTAGCACCCTACCATCATGCCTGGAACAGCCTCCCGGCTCTCCACCAAGTCCCACCTTTCCTCCCTCCTGTCTGCTCCCACTCAGCGCATCTCCAGAATCCGGTGTTGCCCCACTGATCTGGGGCTCCCTCCTGCTCCCCAGCAGCCATGCTGTTCTCGAAATCCCACCTGGAAGCTCTCCCTTCTTCCTCACAACCAGCTGATGCCTGCCAGGAAGCACCACCTTGTACTGTGCAAGAGGCACCCTCCACAGAAACGGCTGCTTTAGAAGCAGAAATAATTTGACACAGTCTTTGGGCAGCACTTGGGTTACGATAACTCTGGAGCCTACAACATCCTGCACAAGGGGCTCCCGGTGCGTCAATTCCTTTCCCTCAGAAAACTAAACTAAGCCCAGCTCAGACGACGTCCAGAGATAGTGAGCACACCCCAGCTTGGGAGAAGCAGCAGAATCCTGGAGTTTGTCAGTCAGGGTAACAAACGCCCCTTGCTCACAAACTGCAGTTAGCTGCAGTGGGATCCCAGGGAAAATGGCAGCTGAGACCTGACCACTGATCACAAATAATTTTGGGCTATTCAATATCTCAATCAGTCTTTGCAGGAAATCTTCGAGACGTCTCCCCTGAGGATAGCTATATCTGTGCAGCTGCTGTTTCACCATTTGTTTCCACTGCATAACTTTGAGCCTTGCTTCACGTGAACTCTCCAATTATCCTGCACCTCCCAGCTAGCCAGCAAGTCACTCGAAGTCAGCCTGGATTAGGAGGAGCACAGAGACCAAAGGCTTTGGAAGTGGGTTTTCTAGACTGAATTGTTAAAGGAACGCACTGTTACCTGCTGACAGCCCGAAAGTTCTGTCATTCCTAGCAACTGAGTCCGGCAGTGTTAATGAACGCTGGATTGAGTTCTACCTCCACAACAACCAAGGAAGAGTTAAGGGAAGGGGAATTATGCGTTTCCTTTCTGCTTGTTACTCTCAAAGCCTGTATGAAAGTATTAAAACGTGAAACTAAACTAGCAAACTGTTCTTTACGTGACTTATTGCCAGGACAGCAGTGTACAAAAGTACGTTTGTAGCTACTGGCAAGATGTGTCACCAGCACACTGTGAATTACACTGCAAGCACCGAAATACTCGCAAATATATGAAGCTAGGTCACTAACCACAGCAACAGATGCCATGGGCAGGTGCTGGCATTTTAAACAAACACCAAGCAGAGCACCAAGAATCTCTGGAGCTCTAAAATCCACATGAAAAACAGCAAGCAATTAATGTTTCTTGTGGTTTTCAGAAGTGGTTGGAATTCCTCGATCCCACAGGCATGGGGCTGCAACCAAGGAGTTAACTGGAGACACATTTTCAAAATTTTTCCCCCTGAACATTTCCATTTTCCTGGATGTATTTTAAATTGCATCTTGGCTGAAAACAGCTGAGAGAGACTCAAAATACACTATGAGAAATTTCAGACACATCTGAAGACCGACTTCTGTATCTCCTGTCTTCAGCCAGATCCTCAGTGCTGTGAGAGACTACAAACAAAACCAGAGAGAACATCTCTAGGAACGTGCAAAACTAGGAGGCACATACTAAAGAGAGGGATTTATTTAGAATAAAATGTATCCCTGCAAACACTGTGGTTTCCAATGTATCCTCATTTCCATGAGTGTTTTCATTTGCAGCACAGCGTGTGTTGTTCTCTCAGTCTTTTGTCTGAAGGGCTCTCTCCTTCCATCAGCATAACAACAAAATAAAAAATCAAGCTCTTTAGCAGGATGTCCTAAAGCAGCCCAGGCACTCTGGGGAGATGCCAAGGTGCTTACTGAGAGGCACTTGCCCTCCGTTGTGAAGCTAAAAGCTTTCAGTGCAGAACTACAGCATCCTAACTCGGTTAGCCTCTGCTTTGGTTCCCCGTTTGCAGAACATTGATGAAGGCTGCTGGCTTGAAAACCAAAAACATCAGATACATTTGAAAACACCCTTATTATCTTCCTGTGAAAATATCAAGATGTGTCTGTCCTGATCACAGGGTGAAAAAAACGCCCGATCAATAAAAATGCCCCGATGCAGACAGGGCTGCACAAATAACGCCAAACTTAGTTACCGCAGCACCTTTCAGACACATCTAACATGGCACCTCTGCTCCTAAAACCACAAACTGTTAAGGGCAGAGGCTGAATTCTAAGCAAACCCCAGACTCCTGAAAGGGAATACGCCTCCTGCACACATATCCGCGCCTGACTGTACAACCGGGAGCGCCACAATACAAAGGAAGAACGCACACAATTCTCGCATGGCCTTCCCTTTACCAATCAACAATCAGCAAGCATGACAAATAATTGTTTGCAGCTGTCATTAGCTGAAAACAAGGCAAATCTGCATATACTTAATCTTAATTAGGCAAACTTGGCAAGGAGCCCTCGCTCATTGCTACCAAACAACCATTCCACTCACAAAAGGGCGACAAAAGCCTGGACGCACACACACACAAAATGTTGATGGAAAAACAAACTGCCTGCAAATGTCTAATCCTGCTCCAGTCCCCTCCCCCCCAAATAAGGGAGGTTATCAAAAGGGAAAGAACCCGTGCCAGAAAAGATGCCCAAGTGTTGTCTGGAGCTCCTGCTTTCTGCCTCACTGTCCTTTGTGCTGCATCTCAGCACCACTGCTCACTCTCAAAGCCTGGCCCAGATGCAATGCGCAAGAGCGGAGTTGATATAAATTCAAGCAGAGAAATTTTGCCACCGAATGCATCATTACTAATTATTCAACTCTCGTTTACCTCTCAAATGAGCAGGCATTGATCGACTTCACAGAGGCATTTCCATTCAAAGACGAAGAGAGGAATTTTGGAGGAAGAAAAAGGGAATATGAAACTGAGGACAAACTGGGTCTGTCACAGCAGCCCTGGCCCTGGGAGCTGTGCTGGATTATGACTTAGAATTTATGAGAGAACTCCTTGCTGCAGGAGAGAAGAAAACCAGGTCACAGACTCCGCAGTAAATGCTCTGCAACTACACACTGCAAAATACATTCAGCCCATTGTGACTGGCAGTGACGTCAGCAGACTCACAGCGGAAATTTGCACCAAGCCAGGGCAGATTCCACTCAACATTTTCCCCCCCTAAAAAAACCAACCAACCCAAATATTGCTGAGAACCCCATTTCCCAAGTTGTGCTTTCCCACTCCTTCAAAACTCTCCCCTCGTCCATCCATGCCTGGCGCTGCCCAGAGAGACGTTATGTATCTGTTGTACAGACTATGAATAAAAGCTGTGATGGCTTTGGAAGGCTGCCACTTCTCTACCCACTGCAGAGCTGGGACTGTCTCCAAGGGCTGCTCAGTTCACACTACATCTGGACTCTTGGCACGCTGGCATCTTTATTCCCCCACACGCACCCACCTCGGCTCAGACGGTGCTGATTCACACATTTCATGCGAACACGCCGAACAACTGAGACACATGCCAGGGGAAAAAATTGCTTTAAAGAAGCTGCACAAACACACACGCAAAAATCAAGCCCCAAATTGGTGGAACGTGCTTTACCTGGAAGCTTGCAGCCTGAAGAATGGAGGGAGGCATCTGACATCGAGAGCCTTTCGCATCCCAGTACACACCACAGACTCAAGGAAGGAGAAACTTATCATGGCGGAAGGAAGCGAACAGTTGAGGCAAATTTAAAAGGTCGGCGCACAGTGGCTGAGTAAAAAAAAACGTAGCGTTGGACTGAAAACATGACACCATTTTTCTTACTAAAAGAAATATTGCAATGATCCAAAAAATTTTTCCACTGAGCAGCACTTAAGGAAAAACTATTTGAAATAAATACAAACAAAATCGGAATGAACCTGGAAGATGTCGCCACAGCCAGCAGAGAGAACTGGAAAGGTATTTTGTAGCTGCAGCCAAACAGAAATAACTAATATTATTCAGAATGGTCGAGAGCCACGGAGGGAGATTTTTGCAGGTGGAGTGGCAGGATTACAAATCTTTAGAAATTCAGGTTTTAAAGTTTGTTTTTCTAAACCTAGGCCGGTGAAAAGAAGCTGCTGAGAGTTCATTCAAAGGCAGAGTGTTTGGGGTGTGTTTGGTGTTTAGGCAGAAGAAATTACAATCGATATGATTAAACCTTCTAGGAAGGAAGCCGTCTGGCGTCCAGAGAACTGAATGCAATGTAGATGCGCTAGGAGTGCTAGGTTTTTTGGTCAAACATTTAGCCAAAAATCACTTAATTTTGTACAAACTAAGCCTGTTATTTTATGAACTTGCGTGAAAATAGACAAATGGCTTTTTAAAGTGAAAAAATAACTGAGTTAGCTTTTGAGATGCTTAACTTTATGATTGAACGATCTCTAGCATAGTCTACATGGAGGGCATTAAACTAAGGCTAGGATTAGTGCAATATTTCCATTTTAATTGAAATTGACTTCACGATTGTACACCTGGGAAGCTAAATGAAAGAAATTTTATCCAAGCAAACTCCCATAAATACTTTCTTTCAGGAAATACCAGGGTAACATCTCAACACATAACCCCCCTAGACTTTTTATTTAGATCTGGACAGATAGGATATATGTGCATATTGCAGATAGATTGGGGGGGGGGGGGGAGAATCATAACAAACAGCTTTAGTTCAGCAACAAGCACAGATATTTGAATGTTTAAAGCAGAAATATCCCAGACGGTTTAAATAACAGTGTAATTAATGTATTCAAATCAAACTGTGTTAAAAACTTAAAAGTGACAGATAACAAGAAGTCCCCGGATTCTGCTAACATTCCTTTCCCTGCTTAGCATCTGCTGAAGGAGAAACGCATCTGCATCTCTTTAAAGCGTTAAATGCATTTCAGGAAACATGACGGTTTTATTTTTTATTCTGCCCTCACATGTGTAACATAGTTTTCAGATAGAAAGGGCAGACACAGATAAATACACATCTCAGCTATAGGAGCATATTGTATTGATTGCAACTACCCAGCCCAAACTGGAGATACAACAGACTGTAAACAGAGAGATAAGAAAGTGGTGTTATCTCCAGAAAATACTTTCCTGTCAGATTATATTTACACATAATTTGAGCCGCACTCACTGGGGAGTTTGGTTTGGACAACAAAAACAGACACAATAAAAATGTGAGATTCGTAATCAGCAGCACGACGTGCATCCTACCGAAATGACAGACTAACCCCTGCTAGATACACAGACGGTAACTCTTGTCCCTGGGAGACGAGCGCAGGAATGGGGCTGTGGGTTTGCTGGGGGGTTTGTTTTGTTTATTTGCTTGATCGTTTTTCATGGTAATCTAAGAAAATTTATCAGTTTAGTTGCTGGAAAATTTAATAGAAAACTTTAAAACCACTAGCGATGCAGCATTTTATCCAAACCCATAACGACACCTTAAAATACGGGCCTCTATCACCACAGAACCCTAAATTGTAACAAAGCATTAAATCAATCATCTTCAGAACTAGAATTTAAAAAAAAACTTAGTGACCTAAAATATGATTTGATGCATTTTATAGGGACAAATCCTGCACGGCCAGATCAATACAGAACTCAAGCAGGCTGAATAATTCCTTTTCTTGACAGCCAGATGGAGCATAGTTCTGCATAAAAAGGGAGTGTTTCCTCACACACTGTAATCACTGGTTATAAGAAGAGCTGAACAAATAGTTTACAGAAAATCATGTGACAAACATTGCCTTTTTTCCTGTGGGCAAATGCCTGGTGATTTTCATGGATTTAATGATTATTTAAAGTTATTCCTGAGCCACTTTGTTCTTGGAGGCCATTTGCAAGCTGTTTCACAGAGAACCCTTTATCTCGGAGTTGCGACCAGCATCGGTTAGGTTGGATGGCATGTAGCGAGGTCACAGAACATTTCTTCTGGTGCCTGGCGGGATGAGTGCAAATTAGGGTCAGCTGCACACACTTGAATATGGAGTTTGAAATTCACTTCCAGTCAATATTCCCACGCTAGCTGTGAGGTGCTGGCATCACTCTAATCACCCAAATTACGCTGCAAGCAGGAGAGTGGAAGTTAAGGGCCAGCTCCTCAGCTGATGTAAATCAGCATCGCCCTTAAATCAAACGATAAATACAAAGGGTGAAACTTCAGCCTCATTGAAGTCAATGGCAAAACTCCCATTGTCTTCAATAGGGGCAGCATTTCACTTAATGCCGCGACATCAGTTTCCATCAGCGGAGGATCTGGCCCCAGCTCTCTGGGAAAGCCAACACACAAAGCTGTTGAACCTGTGATTACGTGGTCTAGGACCAAGCGTGGGAATTAGATGTCCTGATGGCTCTTTCCCATCTTTCATTGCTCAGATTCTGTGGCAGCCAGTTGCTGCACACCCCAGCTTGCTGTCCAACAGTTCGGGGACTTCTCCACCTCGCTGGCATCCAGCAGACTGGCTGTTTAGCCATGGTTAAGTCTTTGCCATACAGCTGTTCTCAGATCGAATTGATTTTGCCAGTGCCTGGTTAAAGGAACACGGGCTACCTGAGAGGAGCTGATTTGTTTTTACCTGGTTCGGGGGTGGCTGGAGAGCAGTGCCTGCTGATCAGACAAAGGACAGCAGATGTCTGCAGCCCGTCCAGACGCTCTGCCTTGAACCAAGTGGTTTTACTATAGCAAAGCATCACTGGTCTGTACTGTACCCCTTTCCTCTGCTCCCACCCGTTACTGACCACGTGACCAAAGGCAAGTCACTGAGCTCTTCTGTGCCTCAGTTTCCCTGTCTGGAAACAGGGGAGTTCGTTGCCTCTCTCAGAGCGGGTGGCGAGGGGCAGAGGGTTGCTGTGGCTCTGGGCTGTATGAGTGCTCAGTGTTGTTATTCTGAACCAGGAGGAATAAAGCATTGGGGCATTTCTGTCAAGGTTCTCCCCAGGCTTTACCCCCTGGGTAAGGAGCAGTGAAGGAGATTTCAGAAAACCTCATGGAGTACGGGGGGCGGGGGGAGTTAACGTGGTTTTATACCTGCTTAGAGCCGTTCTGATGGGCACATTTGACCCATCACAAAACCAGCAGCCAGAGCACTGGGCTGGGACTCAGGAGACCTGGGTTATTTCCCCAGCACTCCACAGACTAGCTGGGTGACCTTGGGCAAGTTCCGGCCCCTCCCCGCCGCTCTCCTTCCCCTCCCCACACGTCGGCTGGCCTGCCCGGCTGGATCGTGTGCTCAGACTCTTCCAACGGGCAGTGCCCAGCACAAGGGGGCCTGATATCACCCGGGGCCACTGACGTACAAATAAATGATTGCTGCAATGTTTTATGTGCCACTGTGTCATGTCTGTAATAAAGCCGCTGGGACCAGCGCCAGACCCCAGGGCTAACGGGCCAGCCCAGAGCCCCCCATCGCGCAGGCTCACTCACCAAGAGGCTGGGAACAGGAGTGGCTGCAGGACCAGCTGGCTGGCTTGGGGAGAGCGGGGGCTCTTGCTGGGGCCGGGTGAGGCTGCCAGCCACGCATCAGGCCCCAGAGAAAAGAAGATCCCAGGAACAGAGGGGAGGAGCTGCTGCTTCCGACTGGCCTGTGCCGGTTCCAGGGAGCAAATGCAAACCCCGGGCATTGCAGCCAGGCCCCAGGCGCTGGGTCTGAACTCAGAGACCTTTGTGGGCCACGCAAGAGCCAGAGGGACCCGAAAGCAGCACCACAAGAAGAGCTCCCGGCTCCGGGGAAGGCGGGGGCAGGAGCAGAGTAAACTCCTCTCTCAGGCCTGGGCCCCAAACATATTTTTACAGCTGGTTCTAATTGCCTGGGGATGCAGAGAGCAGGGCTGACAGCAACAACCAGCAGCTCCTTGCTGCAGTGAGGGGCCCCGCAGGCTCCGAGCCGGGCTGCATGTATGGGGAAAATGTGCCCCCGGCGGGGCAGTGCGGGCTTGGAGCCCCCTTCCAGAGCACGCTTATGGGGCCCTGTGTGGGCAGCGCTGGCCACTCGCCCCCAGCCTCGGCTGCTTTGTGCCACTGTGAGCTAGCCGCCAGGCACAGAACCAGGAGAGGGGAGTAGCCCTGTGTCACGGAGTCCCCAGGCGATGCTCTGGAACTGCTCCCTACGAAGCCAGGCAGGACTCTGGGGAAGTCTCCTTTCTGGGAGCAGCCTGTCTTCAGGACATACAGCTCACACGGCTTCCCCCTTCCTGGGTCTGACCTCGGAGCATTCAGCATCCTCTGCCCCTCCGTGCGCTTCCCCCAGCGAGTCCACCCACGCGGGGTCCTGGGGAAGCCAGAGGGTCCTGCCCCCCAACTTCACAGTCAGACGTGACTCTCAGCCAGCCAGTAAAACAGAGGTTTATTAGATGACAGGAACATGGTCTAACATGGAGCTTGTAGGTGCAGAGAACAGGACCCCTCAGCTGGGTCCATTTTGGGAGGCAGTGAGCCAGAGAACCGCGTCTGCACTTCACTCCTCGTCCCCAGCCAGCCCCAAGCTGAAACTCTCTCCTGCTCCTCCTCCTCTGGGCTTTGTCCCTTTCCGGGCCAGGAGGGCACCTGATTCCTTTGTTCTCCAACACCTTTAGCTCTCACCTTTCCGGCGGGCAAGGGCCAGGCCATCAGTTGCCAGGAAACAGGGTGTTGGCCATTCTGTGTCCAGCCCCCTGCACACACCTGCCCTCGAGGGCTCTGCAACAATCATACACCCTTACCCCACCACCTAGATACTTAAGAACTGCATAGGGGAAACTGAGGCACCCCACACACTATTCAGAGGAAACACTGAGAACAGTCCCGCTTCATCACACCCTGCCCCACAAGCGCAGGGCCTGCCTATGTGCTAACAGCAATTCCAGCACTACCCTGGCTTGCCCCCCAGCACTGCCCCACATGCCTGCTGCTTCCCTGGCACGCACACTGCACCTCCCGCCGGGACACACAGACTCCTCCTCCCCATGCATGATACCCCACAGTAGGCGTGCAGAGCCCTCCAAGAGACGCAAAGTCCCATGCACCCAGGGCAGCCCCTGCCAGGCGCACAGAACCCTGCTATATGCAATGCCACTGGCTACCCAGCACTCCCCCCTCCAGCTCTTCCATCAGGCTGTTTCGGCCATGACAAATAATAGTAGCAGAGACTAAATGCAGGTTGCTGCCTTCCCCAAAGCAAAGACCCCACTGCCACATCCTTGAGAACAACTCTTACGGGACCGACCCCGGGCAGTGGAAACGAGTCTCCCCTGCCTGCGGGCAGTGCCTACAGTACCAAGCTGGCAGAGATTGCGACACACCCAACCTGTTAGCCAGTGTGGGGCCTGCTGAGCTAGGGCTAAGTGAGTTATCTCACCTTGGCTATAAAGGAGGTAGAAATGGCTCTCTAGAGGGGAAAGGAGGGTCTAGCAGATGGGCTGAGCATTTGTTGATATTAATGTTTCTGTTAACAAAGCCAGGCCCAGGCAGGGGTGTTTTTGACTCTGTTTGTTCTATAGCTGGTTGGGAGAAGCACCAGCTCACTATTATTCACACAAAAAGCTGCATTACAGGAATGTTGAGGCTGTAAAGTCAGGAAATGCCAAGGGGAAGGATGCCCAGGCAGCCTTAACTCTGCCCCCTTGTGCATACACATTATGAGACAACCTCACTAGGAGATCACATGCTACTGTTCCCACAGCATAGTCACCCTGCCTCGTTCATTGTCCACTATCCCTCCTGTCCACTGAGGAGCCAAACGTGCTATTGCACCAGCATAAATGCAAACAGACTCTGCCCCCAAATCAGGAAAGTTTCCCCTGTTACATTCACAACTATCCCTGCTTCACTGACTGTGTGACCGCTCAACCTGTGCTTTGTATGAGACAGGGTCCCCATGGAAAAAGCAACAGGCGAGAACTTTCATGTATTATCTGGTGCGAGACAGGGCCCCTGCCTCAGTCCGCACACCCCTTCATGCACAGCAGGGACAACGTTTCAGAGTGCGCCCAGCTTCAGCGTGGCCCTGTGTGGTGCTAGCCAAATGCAGGGAACAGCCTCCTTGGGCTTTGTCAGGGCATGAGATGCTCACAGGCTTTACGGCTGTTTCTTGAATCCTTATAAACTTGGCCAAATCCAAACATACGGTCTCCGGTCCCAAGTGCAGGGTAGCACTAGCCTAGGGCCTCCCCCCGCCAAATGTTAACGTCTGCCCCAAAGTCATGCTGCCTGGCGGTTACGTCTTTCTTGCCTAACAGCCCCAGGGTATTTTATTCTCTGCCTTTGCGTTCAAAAATGGCTCATTCGGAAATAACTCAGCCAGGCAGATCAGATCTGGGAAGTCTCAGCCCAAAATGTGAGAGGCGGAGCAAATTATGAGCAGCTGACTCCAGGCCTTTAGAATTAAAATGCTTAGGCCAAAGGGTAACCCCACCACGCTTCACCTGCCATAAATGAAAGCAGACCGCCTGACAGGGTTCCCAGCACACTGCCCAGCTCTCTGGGGCAGGGACAGTCCTTGAGTCTGAGTGCACAGGGCAGCCCCGAGCTCATCACTAAACAGAATGCCCGTGCCCCAGGCCCCAGAGCCAGGAGGAGGAGTCCCGGTCGAGATCCCAGGTCCAGCTGAGCGGCTGTGTTCCCTCTGGCTCCCGTAGGGATTTATCGGGTGAGCAGGCTCTGCCAGAGCAAACCTCCAGCTGCACATGGCTCTGTGCTAACGGCTTCCTCCACAATCCCCCTGGGAGCTGCAGCTCTGCATTTCATTAGGAAGCCTCCATCCGGATCCCCGCAGAGGTGCCCTCTCTGCTCGCCTCGCCCTGCATCCTCGTTCCTCGCAGCCTGGGGGGTGCAGGGTCTCAGAAGCACAAGGCCTTGATTAACTTTTAACTAGTCTGGTTCAGAGGGGCTGCCTGCTACAACCATGAGCTGCCGTTGCTTTCCCCTCCTTGCCTGCTGACTAGACCTAGAAGATCTCGGTGTCTCTAACCACTGTCACAAGCAGATCCCCACATGCCTTCCCTCTGAGCCGTACAGGCCAAGCTTCTGAGATGCAGCACCAGGGGGAGAAACAAAATGCACCCATGGGACCCCGCCTCGGCGCTCTGGTCAGCTGCCTGCAGGCGCACAGTTACCCACCAGCCAGGGCAGACAGGAGGCTCTGCCAGGCTGAGGCTTTCAGCACCACTCACTTGTTTCACAGGGCGCTGGGACGCTGACGACTGCCCAGCAAAATGAATTCACCCAAAGCAGAAAGTCCAGGTTTCAAAGCAAAATTCAGCCCTGGCATCAGTAGGCCCAACTGCCCCGGCTTCAGCAGGCTTCACTCATTCGCACCAGGGCTGGGCCGGGCCCCAGGGCAGGTCTTCCCTGCAGAGATGCTGGTGCTGGGCACCCAGGTGTGAGCAGAGACACTGCAAAGCTTGATGCAAGTTACTGCGTCCTCGCGGGTTCTGCACTCCCCCGTGTGCGTCACTAGGGCTGGGGCCACATCCCAGGGCTCTTAGCACTGCCGAAAGCTGAGCTGCTCTCTGATTCTCCCCAGGGAATTGGGGGAGAACCTGCCTGTCCTTCTGGGCACACAGGGGGATTACGGGAAGGCACAGGAGGACTGTCAGCACTTCTGTGGTTTACCCTGCATCCACACTACAAAATGGGCAGGTTACAACCAGCCTCAGTGACAGCAGCACCTGGCTCTAGTTTATATCCTAACTGTGCCAGCTAGCCAGGATCAAAGCTCAGGTGAGAAGTTTTGGTGCGAGGACAGAAGTGGGGGGAAGAGAGACTGGGCTAACAACAACATGAAGACATGTGCCCAAAGCCTCTTCTACATAGCCCCACATACAGCATACACGGAGGAGAAAACCCCCACAGTGCACAGGGGGATGATGTAGCAAAAGCCCCACGCTCTTGGACTCAAGAGTAGAGGGAGGAGGAGATTTTTCTGACAACATTTTTCCCCCAGAAAATGCTGTTTCAGCAAAACGTTTCACAGAAATGTGGCGTTTGACAAAATCTCTTTCTGGAAAAAAAAAAAATCTGAAGGGAGCGTTCGGCTCAGCTCGAAATGTTCCACTTTGACCTTCACCAAATAAACTGTGGATTTCCCGTTTCAGAAGGTTTCATTTCCAGCTTTGGAGCCGTACATTATGTAACCGAAGATAACATTTAAAACAAGTCAAACTCAGGATGAACCATTTGGGTTGGCCGGAAACTATTTTTTCTTATTATTTTTGTTCTGTGGGGAGTTTTGGTTTTGTTCCATTTTGGCACAGAAAAAAAAAAAAGTCAAAATCTCAGAATTTCCGGCCACACGAGCAATCCGGTTCCCCCCGGCTGTCCTCAGGAGAGCGACGCTGGCTCCGC